CTGGAGGAAATGGTTTTAAGACAATTCAGCTGGAGCTTTTCTGGTGCCTTTTCAGGCATTACTATATTGTACTCAAAAGTAAATCGTCAGAAAAAGTACCAGGACTTCAGTTTGAGCAGAGGCTAGGACGTGGTCTCATGTGCTTGCCATCCTCAGTCTGTGTGGGTGTGGGGGTTGTGTGATCCTCTGTGTGTGTGTGTGTGTGTGTGTGTGTGTGTGTGTGTGTGTGTGTGAGTGTGTATGTGATCCTCAGTCTGTGTATGGGGTATGTGTGTGTGTGTATGTGATCCTCAGTCTGTGTATGGGGTGTGTGTGTGTGACCCTCAGTCTGCATATGGGGTGTGTGTGTGTGATCACATGCCAAGGCCAGCGAAGGACGCAGGGTCTCTCTCGCATTCTCTATCTTTATTTATTTAGGTTTCAGGCAGGCTGGCTGGGAGCTCCAGGATCTGCATGTCTCCACCCTGTAACGCAGGTGAGAAGCAGTTGTGCCCCGTTTTTATATGGGGGTTCAAACAGAGGTCCCCGTTGCCTACATACAGAGCCTTCTCACCAAGCCTAGTCTTTAGTCTTTACAGGGAAGTGTTGCCACTACATGTCCTGGAAAACACAGTCACCTTCCTTTGGGAGAGCCCATACGGTCTTCTTTACCCCGGGCATTCCTGTGTGTGGACACTCTTTCAAATACCTCCGCTCCTCTGGGACCTTCAGCATGAATGAAGAGCGCAGCAGCAAACAGGACCGCTCCAGAGACAAGGACAGGACCCGTCCCAGCAGTTCAGTCATTTGGTGAGGATGTCCCCTCTGCCCCCACTGTCTTCTTCCTTACAGCTGCCTCCTCAGCCTAAAGACTTCTCCAGAATCTCTTCAAGACATGAGTTGCTAACTTTGCTTAATGTGTACAAAGGATACAGATAAAAGCACAAACAGAGGAAGTAGGAAAATTCAAACCACGTGGAAAGGAGAATCAGTCAAGTAGCAGACATGCAGCCATTGGCGGCAGCTTCAATTTGATAGTCAAACTTCCTAAAAGAGCGGACATCTACTGGCAGGCAGTCCCTGAAGTGCCGATATTTGGAAGAAACCTCCAGTTTACTCATTTCTTATAGAAAAGTAGGGCCGAATTACAGCAGTTCGGAGAAAGGCATTGGGATGAGTTCTGGGCATTAAAGGGAAGAGGACAGCAGGGGACGGAGAGGAGTCTGGATAACTGCAGGCATTTAGTGTGGACTCTGGGTGGGGAATAATGTGGCCACCAAGACGGAGAGGCCAGAAGAGTCAGGGACAAAGGCTGTCTGTCACTGGCGGCCACTTGTATGTAGCTGGAAACAGACCCAGCAAAAGACAAGGCCAGAGACGGAGATTGGGAATCCAAGGGCACGTGGAGAAAGGAGAGCTAGCTTTGATTAGTGAGCACATTCTGTGCTCGGCACTTCATGAGTCGTCAGAGCCTTTCTATAGATAAGTAAGTACCTGCCATTGATGTAACTTTAGTGAAGTTCTTTGCCGGGGTTAGAAAGCTAGGAAGTGGCAAAACCACACCATATGTCTGTGCTGCGCTTCCTTCCTGATGAGGGAAGGGTAGCTGAGTGCACTGCCTCCCTGTGGCAGACACAGGAGTGACAGCCGCCGCCGCCGTACCTCCACAAGGGTCGCATCTGCTCCCTCCTCCCTCTCAGGAACCTAGCCAATCTTCACATCTGAAGATGACATCTTATATTTTAATTTACTAATCATAATCCAGCTCAATCCTGAAAACACGTCAGCAACTCCTCAGACCCATGACGGTGGCAAAACTAACAGCAGGCTTGGACTGCTTCGTCCTGTCTTAGTGACGGAAGGCCTAAGTCACAGGTCATCTCATGGCCAAGGAAAGAAAGCCTTAGCATCACATAAGCAGAAGTAACATAAGGTGTAAGGATTTGTCCTCGACTTCTCCAAACACCAATGCCCAAGACCACTTACCCCACCACACTGCTAAGAACAGGAAGCAGGAATTTTCCTGCTCACTGGAGTGGGAGCTTGGTCAAGGGATGTCAAAAACGGTGCAATTTTTTTTGTCTTGGGTAATGATCCTTTTCCTAACATCCACTGTTTCTAAAGATGGACACAAATTACCAGAAATGTGGAGGGGTGAGAGGGAACTCTGCCTGGAGAGAAGCAATCCTGGCTGGTCAGGAGTTAGAGGACCTGGAGTCCGCCCTGCCTCAGATATTCACAGCTTTACTCACAGTTGCTTTGTGGTAATTTCCTAATCCTCTACAGAAATGGTGAGAGTCAGCAATTACGCCATAGATTTGGTGCAAGGATTAAGGAATTTACAGAAAGCACTTAGTGTAATCTCTTCTAAGTCCTCAATACAGAAAGAAAACCAAGAGAATCCTGTCTTTCCAAACAAATACTTGGAGTTTATTTTGTTTTGTTTACCTTTTTTGGACAGGGTCTCTGTGTAGTCTTTGATGTTCTGGAACTTGCTATGTAGACCAGGCTGGCCTTGAACTCACAGAGATCCTCCTGCCTCTGCTTCTTCAGTGCTGGGATTTTAGAAGTCACACTGTGTGAAGGGCAGTATAACCTGTTGTCAAAAATGATCACATTTTACTATTACTATAGAATTAGATTGAAGCCAATGTTTCTTTTTTTTCTTTCTTTTTTTTTTTTTTTTTTTTTAATTTCTCTGTGTAGCCTGGTTGTCAGGGAACTTGCTCTGTAGACCAGGCTGGCCTCGAACTCAGAGATCCTCCTGCCTCTGCTGTGTGCTGCCTTCCGAGTGCTGGGATAATGGGATTAAGTGCATGAACCGCCACTGCTCCATCGAGGCCACTGTTTCTTTGCATCGTGTTATAATAGAGCACTCAGCTAATCATCTTTATCTTACAGCCCAGCAGTGGGAGTGTCCTCTGTGGATGCAGAATATACTGTTATTCTTACATAGAGAAACACCACCATCAACAACAACAAATTGGGTGAGCAAGTCCACAGGCCTGGGAAACCAGAATGCTTAAACAACAGACCTCCTGGTTACTTACCCAATCCTGTGGGAATAAAAGATCTTTGGAAAAGGAAAACCTAGTGTTGGCTAGGACTCCAACTGATGGAAGTATAAATTGATAAATTCTTTCTGGAGAGCCATTTGGCAATTAACATCATTTTTTAAAAAACACACGCAGCTTTCAACTCAGCAATTTTTCCTAAGAACAAAAACTTGAGCCCCAAGATTTAGCAACAACATATTTGTTGACAAATGATTTCTAATTAAAAAAAAAAAACTCAAAAATCAGAATCTAAGACTATAACAAGATTTGATGATAGTTACATGTATTCAGAAATATATTTATATAGTATTTATATAGTAACTGAAAAAAGGCAACAAACCATTATGTGAGTTAAGATTCTTTGGTTCAGAGTGAAAGGAAAATAATTCAAGATAGGTCAGGAGGAAATGAAAGTAAGAATATGATGAATGGCATGAGCCAAGACAAGCGGAGAGGCCTCTTAACTGAAATGAAAGCTCTGGAGGTCTGCCCCCAGTTCACACACCTAGCTGCCGAGTGCTCCATCTCACTAACACCAGCTCTGCTGGTTGCCGGTTCCTTCTCCATGGCACAGCACGGCCCCCCATACATTCAGTTCTGATACATCCACTTCAAGAATGGAGACGTGATGAGGTGGACTCACCACGGTGTGCACACACCCTACTTGACACAGTACCAATGTGGTCTTCGGGGACCCAAAGGAGTGGGGCTTGCTACAGCAAGAGAAACAGCCGTGAAGGGTTGTGCAAGGCCCACAGGATGTGCAGAGCAATTTCAACTGCCTGGTTTTGGGAAGAAACTTATTTTCCTAGATGCAGGGCAGGCTGGTAGGTGACCCACACCATGCGGGCATGGCGGCGGGACTGCAGTGGACAATCATTCATAACCCAGTTGCTGCATCCGCGCGCGCGCGTGTGCCCAGAAATAGTTTATTATAATAGAGAGGAAGAGAAAGACAGAAAGAAGGCAGAAAAGAGAGAAAGAGAAAGAAAGAGGGGGGGTTGAGGGTGGGAGGAAAAGCGGAAGAGAGAGGAGAAGGGGAGGGGCCTTTCCCCAAAATGAGGCTTTTACATCAGGAGCAGGGGGGTGCCAAGGTCAGAAATATTAACACTAACAACAACTGAAATTCCCATGAAGTACAGACCACCTCCACACTGTGTTTCTAGTAAATGAGTTACTAGTAAACCATGAAAATCCAAACTTACTTTTTAAAATGAAAAATGGAAAATAGTGTTTCTTATTTTAATTCAATGTGTATTTCTCAAAATAAGATGCGCTGTGAACATGACTTTAGGTTAAACTTTACATCATCTTTAGTTTCCAGGTGAGAAATCCAGCACACAAAATGGAAGGCCCATTCGTCACAGAACAGCAGCAGAAAGCGTGGTCAGGGAACAGAGCACAGAGTTAGCAGATCAATACAGTCCTGGTACAGAGGCACCCAGCTGAACCCATGAAGACAATCCTAGGCCAAAAAGCTAATGGACTTCTAGGTGATCTTGCCTACCTCAAAACAGTCATCATATTTAATGTAGTAAAGCTCACATTCAACAACCTATAGAGGTCTAATGCAATGGAGAAATTGCCAATGTGTATTGCTGAGGACTTTAAATCTTTTATACTGTGTTTAACACATAATAAAATGATGCAAAGATTGTTTTAAAAATGAAATGTGAGGGGCTTGACAGCTGGTTCAGCAGGTTCAATTCCCAGCACCCACACGGCAGTTCACATGGGGTCTGCCTTAGACCTGAGACAATTCCTCTTCCTCCTCCTCAGTAACTCCAGTTCCAAAGATCCGACACCCTCATACAGACATGCGTGCAGGCAGAACACCAATGCACGTGATAAAAATAAAATAAATCACTTTAGAAGAAACAAATGTGAAATACCTATATCAAAGCTACAAGTATAATTTCTGCCTCTTAACTGCTAATACAGTGTTTAAAATTATGCAAACAAACATCCAGTAAACATTATTTTATTTTATGACACTCTGCATTAATACAATAAATATACAAAACTTCCAAACCACTGAAAACATGCAACATGAGAGGGACACACGGAGGGCATTTACACAGAACCGTGACATTTGCCATGAGGGCAGCGCAGCATTACACACCAACAAAATATACAAACATCCCCAGAGAAAGAAACCAAGCCCCAAATCACAAATCACCAAGCAATGATTTTCCAGTGTTCAGACCCTAGTTTGAAATAAAATAGCCACCATTTAAAATCAAAAATGGAAACGTGACATGGATACCTGTTCCACGTGAAGCCGCTTCATGGCTGTGGCGCCAGGTAACATTGGGATTCAATAGGAAACACTAACCATCTTTCACCAAATGAACCTGCACTACTGGCCGGCTGTGGAGAGAATGGTAAACCAGGAATTTCAAGACGCTTTCAACACTTGACCTAGCCGCAGGCACTGCCATCATTTTGATGCGCCTCTGTGTCTTCAAACAACACAATCTCTTTCAAACTTGTATGAACCCAAACAACTGGATTGAAACAGCATTTTCCTCTTCATACACAAAACATAATGTGCTGGAACTATTCTTTGCCATTTAATAATGCCACCTCTGGGGACTTCTACAGAATGGAGAGGGAATGTTCCCATTTTTGAAGGAAAGTATTTTTTAAATCTCTGATGTATCCTTTATTTGTACTTCAAAGACAAATAAGCATGAATTTGGAATATAAGTACATGGTATAGCTGTGTACTTTCATAGTCTTAGTGATTCAGTGCCTATAAAATCCATACTTGATAAAGCACAAGCTCCACCAGGTCTCACTGAGACCTCAGGCTCTCAACTCCAGCTGAGCTGGGTAAGAATGAAGGGAGATAACACTAATCAGAAGTGTTCATAAAAACAACTTCAAATTCATATTCGGAATCCTACTTCCTTCTAAAGAAAAGTAGTATCTTCAGTAGTCAGTGAATTCCCAGTATCCCACAGACCTTCTTCATGTGGACATGTGGGCCAGTATCCCACAGACCTTCTTCATAAAGTCCAAGAACCATGCCCCAGCCTAGCACGAAACTCCCTGACTCCAGATTTAGGGAAAGAATAAAGTGTCTCAACCATTTAAACCATTTTTAAAAGATACCCTGTCTCGGCGGCCACCCTTGCTTAAAATCAACTTGGATAAATCACAACCTGTTATTCTGTAGTCTAAAACTAGTAAGACTTTCAAAATAAAAGAGTCTGACTTACAAATGTTCTTGAGACATTTAATCATTATTAAAAATGATTAAAAGTCTGAACCCACACTGGCCTGTGCTGCACAGTAACGATGCCAATATGATTATATTAATAATGAACACATTTAATTGTACTTGTACTTCCTTGCTTGGTGCGACGCTTTACATGTATTTAGTTTGTCTCAAAAAGTAAACGACAGGGACATTAAAAAATCAAGTATATTAGAAGTGCTAGGGTCTTTTATTTTTAATGCAACTAAAAGTGAGAGGCTAAAAGAGAAATCCCTTAAATACTGTATGTTCTTTTTATTCAAGGGTTAGGCTAGCCTTTAATACCTGTGCCAAAATCTCTCTCTCTCTCTCTCTCTCTCTCTCTCTCTCTCTCTCTCTCACACACACACACACACACACACACACACACACACACACACACACACAAAGCTGCCAAATACAATCCCAGTTCAATTAAAAAGATTAGCCAGAAGAATATACCAAAGTTTCCATACAGTAAAATTTTACTAAATGAATACTGAAAATGAAGAGGGCAGAAAGGAATTATCACTATATTCTATTGCATCAATTCACTACCTTCTCTTTTGGATAATGCACTGCACATTATATTAAAGTCTTTATACTCCAGTAATTTTTTACTTAAAAGAAACTATTACAGAAAATGATTTCTGATTCTATAAAGAGCCCCAGCTCCTACCACTATAAGCAGTACAGAACCCAAAATACTAATTCGTTTCACTTAAGAGACATGGTACCCATGCAAGATACAAGATTGTTATCAAAATATTAACTAGTCTAAAAATAAAATAAAAGAAGATAAAATATACATTATCTACTACAAAGCACACAGGCTTTTCACTGGTGACCGAACCTCATAGAAAGCAAGCCCATTTAAAAACACTCAAGTCTTTGCTGGCCTCATTCCTGCAATATTAATAGAGAAAAAAAAAAAAGAAAAGAAACAAACGTGGTCTCATTTCCAATGTATAACCCTTATCTCTACTGACACTTGGAAGATCTACTGTGGTTAGTCTCGAGTGCTTTTTAAATCTTGAGTCACATACTCATTTCAGTGTGTCACCACTGAAATAATCTGAGGAACACCATCCCCCAAAAATATGGAGAATATTTATTTAGCAGATAAGTTTTCTTCTGTGAGGGGCGTGGAAATATTAAGAAACTATTAGGCAAAGTAATAAGACGAGGAAGTTTCTCTGGTTTTAGACCATGCACATGTGAATAGGAAATACCCATGCTGTGTGTACTGTGTGTTTCCAACATAAAAATAACTGTAGAATACAGTAACCGGAGGAAAAAATACAGTCAACAGGTAACAGGCGCTGCTGTGAGGCTCCCTACATCTGGTTACCCTTGAAGGCATTCTGCGCCGCACTGGTTGCTGCATTTGAGGCTGCATTTGCAGCCGCAGTCTGGACAGTCTTGTTGGACATCACTCCCGTTGCAAACTCTTGCTGGGCCTTCTCAAAGCTAGCACCTGTTGTTCGATACAGTCCATGGACCTGCAGAGGCAGACAGCAACGCGAGAGGTAAGCAGCAATCTATGCACGCGCTGCCTGCCAGCTGAAGTTAATCCCACCGTCCCGCACAGTGTGAAGACCAGATGGAGGGCAGCGGGGAAATGGGAGAAGAAAAAGAAAACCATGAAATCAGCAAGAGAGATGAACAGAGTGGGATTAACGGCAGCGTAGTGCTTTCAAAGAGAGTAACTGCCACCTTTACTATAACTAGACTACCCTTTATAGGCAATAGAATATCTTCACAAAGCATTTGCTTTAAAACGCCAAGTTAATGACTTAGTGGGACTTATGCATCACTATTCTGAATCATATGCTTCCAACTCCACACTCCCCACAAATGAAAAGAACATCTGAAGATAAGACATTTCAGTACGTTTTAAAAATTAAAGCACTTAGATAAAGCTTACTTTTTTTTTTACATAAACTTGGTTTTTAAAGTGAAATAACTTCAAAAATTCTTTTGAAATGCAGAAAGTCCTTAGTAACTAGCGTATTAATGTGGACATGAATATTTATGAACAAGTTCCCAAATTCCATAGAAAAGATAATGGAAAACAGGTTCCCAAAAGAATATAAATTGTGTACTATTTGTTGCTTCAACATTAAGTAATTCCAACTAATTCAGAAGTTAAGGAAAGGGCAGTGTCTGGAGGTTCTGACGGCTTTCTGCCGTTCCTAGCTTGCTACCAGACTCCTTCAGAACATCTACCACAGTAGCCCTGAAACACTAGCCAGAGCTTTCTAATAGTTCACTGCGGAAACAGAACATTTAACACAGTTACAAACAATTGATAGGCCAGGCGGTGGTGGTGCACACCTTTGATCCCTGCACTCCAGAGGTCTCAGAGGCAGGCGGATCCTGAGTTTGGGGCCAGCCAGGTCTACAGAGTGAGTTCTAGGACAGCCAGGACTACACAGAGAAACTCTGTCTCAAAAATACCAAAGAAGAAGAGGAGGAGGAGGAGGAGGAGGAGGAGGAAGGAAAGGAGGAGGAGGAGGAAGAAGAAACACACACACACACACACACACACACACACACACACACACACACACACGTAAACATCGATAGAAATCCGGCCCATCTGTGGAAGCTAAGGGTTTCTGCCTATGAAGCAGCTCAGTAGATAGAAATCCTTTCAACACCCCAAATCTGGGCTAAGAAACACCAGCATGGCAGAAACCAAGGCACAATGAGCATCCAAAAACCAACAACGACCAACTCTAATTGTGTAAGATTTCAGAATAATAACGAGTTCTCAACAGTACATTCATTTTCATCTAAACAAATACTGACAGCGTATTTAGCAAGGGGAGAAGGGAGGAAAAGCCTGGCCAAGCCACTAGTTCAGGCGGGAATTACATACACAGACCTTCCCCAGGGCACGCACGGTCATGAAGAGCCTGACCCCTAGTGGTGATAAACTAGGGCTGCATACTCCCACAAGGGTTTTTGTTTTCTGGTTGTTTATTTTTGGTCATTTGTTATTAGTTTTTAAGTCAGTGTTGAAGAATCAGTTGTTCTCAGGTCTCAGTTTACATCAGAGTTAGAGTAGATTTGAAGAATGCTGATTGGTTCAAGTTATAATTTAGTTTATACTACCATTTATTACACTTCAGGACATCATACAGAAAATCATTCATCTGAGCTCCTCACTTCATAGGTAAGAAAGAGACAGCACCGACTGATGGTGAACACATAAAAGAGTCAACTAGTAACTTTACATTATGAGTTGAAAATTAACTAAAATATCAGAGTATGCACATAATGCTGACAAATACTTTGATCTTATTTGGGAAATAAATATATTTATTTTGAATGCTTGGCATGTGAATATAAGCTCCATTATGCAACTATCCCTTTCATAGAAAACAGTTAAAACAGAAGGGGAAAGGAATTCCTGACTGCAGTTCCGAGCCTGCACATGACTGTCTGATACGGCCACTGTGGAATGAGAGCTTCCTCTATGCCCTGCCTCCTACTCTCTTCTCATGTTGGAGAGTTCTGGAGTGTTCTGCCCTTGGCCCTCTTCTGGCTCTATGCTTCTATAGGCTTTCTCAGGCTTCATTCACCTCGGGAAGCCAAACCTTCCCAATCTGAAAACCCAACTTGAATTTCTTTGCTTACGTCTCCTTGTCTGTCTAGAAGTCTACCACATGTATTCATACTAGTACTTCAAACTCCCCCACAAAACCGGAGATCACTTTGACCTCCACACCTGCTCTTTTTACTTTATTTTGTGCATGTTGGGGGTAGGCCATCAGCACTTCTGAGGTCAGAGGACAACTGGCAGGTCTCCTTCCACTGGGTGAGTCCTGGGGTCAGTCACAAGTACCTCTGCCCACTGAACTATCTCACCAGCCCCAAACCTGTGCTTCCTAAGTGGCCCATCCCCTAAAACATCCTTGAGTAGAGTCCAGAGAGAACGAGGCTAACCTTCTCATAGTGGGGAACTCAGGCTACCATCTCTGTTGGCTTCCTGTCCTCCACCCTCATCCACAAATCCTGTATCTACTTCAAGATAACTCTGCCCAAACTTGTCACATCAACCCAATTTCTCTGTGCCTCCTTTGTGAACCACCACCTTTTGGAGAAGATTAAAACTTTTTAACAAGGTCTAGTTTTCCAGACCCCGCAAGATCTGAGGATACGGATGTGTTCAAGCTCATCTCTACCCCCACCTAGTATTTTCTCTGCTCCATCCTACGCTCCAGCTGCTCCCCAGCCCATGCTAGCCCTTTCCAAACCCTTGAACGTGCCACTGTATCCTCACAACCGGATCCTGCTTATCCTCTATGCCCCTCCACCTTTCATATCCCCTTATGCAGACAATGGTAATGATGGGCAGTTATCACTGTGTCTCAGCTAAGGCTTGCTGGCTGGCACCTGTCTGTATTCCCAGCTACCCTGAGGCTGGGAGGGAGGGGGACAGCTAAAACCCAGGAATTGAGGCTAACTTAGATTGTAGGGCAAGAACTTAATTTTCAAAGCCAACACTAAGAGAAAAAGAAACCTAGACTCCCAAACCTTGGCTGTGCATGCCCTAGGTCCCTACACTCCCTTCTGTGACAGCCGGGAAATGACTGGCTTGTGGTACACATTCTCTCAACCCCAAGGTGAGCCCAGGGGCTCATGCCTGGCACAGGGCTTAGCACTGTCACATACCCGACCGCTGGTTTTATGGGACAGAAGTGCACAGAATGCCACGAAGCCTCTACAAGACTCTGAACTCGCTGTATTTCTAGTTTTAGACAACATACCCAATAGTAGGTGCTTGCCTAGGAAGGACGGAGCCCTGGGTAAAAACTGAGTGTGGCCATGCACACCTATAGTGCCAGCACTTGGTGGGGAACACAGAAGGGTTAAGTGTTCTTATAGATCTGAAACAATAAAGGTATTAACGGTGGCTAGGCCATAGTTCCCAATTATTAAACCAAATGAAGGTATTTTGTAGATGAGAACCCACTGTTAGTTAATATAAGTACAGAGCATTCTAGATGATCTATATCTGACTAGACCTAAGAAAGGCAGTAAGTAGGGCTGGAGAGATGGCAGTTCAGAGTGCTGTTGTCTTTCAAAGAAGCAGATTTGGGTTCCCAGCACCCATGTCGGACAGCACCAGGGGATCTGATGCCCTCCACTGGCCTCTATAGGCAACCCCTCCTCCCCCCCACACACACACTTTTTTCTAAGCAGGCAAGGCTCCTCTAAGGAAGGAGGTCTGGCCTGTGGCACGGGGCTACAGCTTCCTTCTGCAGCTCCAGCCTGCCCCTCTCAGTGCTAGTGACATTTTACTGTCAACTTAACACAACCTGGATCAGACTGGCCTGTGGCCATGTTGTAAGATACTGTGTTGACTGATGATTGATATAAAGAAGGCCCAGCCCACTGTGGGCAGCACTATCCTTGGGCAGGTGGCTCTGGGTTATATGAGGAAGCTAGCTGAATGAACCAGAAAGCAGCATTCCTCTGTGGCAGTGGTTCTCAACCTTCCTAATGCTGCGACCCTTTAATGCAGTTCCTCGTGTTGTGCTGACCCCCCAACCATAACATTATATCATTGCTACTTCATACCTGCAATTTTGCTACTGTTATGAATCGTAATGTAAATATCTGATAGGCAAGGTTTCTGATATGTGGCCCCAAAGGGGGTCTCGACCCACAGGTTGAGAACTGCTGCTCTATGGTTTCTGCCTAAGTACCTGCCCAAACCTCCCTCAGCGGTACTGTGACCTGGAAGTACAAGCTGGAATAAGGCCCTTCTTCCCTGGGTGCTGTGGTCATGGTGCCTATCGTGGGAATGGAAAAGCAAACTCAAACCTCTCTAAGAGTTTGCCCTCCACTTTGGACTCGCCCCAGCAGCCTCACAACTAGATATGCCAGTCCCTGCCAGCAGTTCTCTCCTTCTGGTCTGTTCTCTGATGGGCTAAACCAAAACAGCAGACCCTAAATCAGACTCAGAATTAAAGGGTCAAGATTAAACAATACAAACCATGGTAATTGTGGGGGGCTCTTGCAATTTACATTACTTTATCCTCATGCCAATCCCGTGGAAGTGGTTACTCCCATCTCTGGTTTCATTCAGAAAGCATTTACGTGCCCATCCCACACTAATTGTGCCTGTTACTGCTCGGTGTGAGGCTACAAATGAAGGAACACAGGTCCCTGGGCACAGGCAGACAGTGAACCAGGCGGTTAGAGGACCCTGTCTGGGGCACAGCAGTACAGCAAGGCGTTCGTTTCAGTATGAGCTGGTGCAAAGCCAGGTCCCTGGCCCTCTTGTTTGAGGACACTTACCACACCAGGCACCATGTGAACCATGAGGCCTATATCCTGGCACATACCCCAGGCCCCTGAGATCCTACGGAGAACAACAAAAACCCTAAGTTCCACAAGGAAGCAGAGAACTGCCCCCAGACACATGGGTAACAAGCAAGACTGTGAAATGGTCGGGATGGTCTGAGCAAAGGCTTGAAAAGGCATGACTGGGTCTTCAAGCGGCAGAAAGGTGAAATCGCATAGCACAGCAAACCGACAGGAAATGGCAGAGCAGTCCGAAGAGAGTGCAAGCCCTTCACACCACGACCCACTCCTGAGCCCCAGTCCACACCAGCATGCTGCAAACAGCAGGTTCATGGCGGCAGTGGCTGCTGTCCTTAGATTAATGCAGAGAACATTCCAAATGTGCCGAAGTCAGGGAGGAGTGAGTGAACTGTAAAAGCTTTTCTGGTTGTCAGAGGTTAGGAATGGAAGTAAAAGACAGAAAAAACAAACAACAACAGCAAAAACCCACATCCATATTCTAAAAAGGCCACCGAGAGCAACTGAAGACAAGTCACCTTCAGAAGTCATGCAACAGCAGTGACAGTACTGACCGTGTAAATGGAACTGCAAAGGTCTCCTTCCCCATCTCAGGCCCATCTGTGCTCTGAGAGCTTCTACAAACAGCTTTGTTGACGGAAACTGTATACTACGTCATGCATCCCTGTACACTGTGAAGATGTCTGGGTTTGTACAAAACATGCTCTCTTCTAGTCCAAAACTCTCAGCCATCGAGGTGTGGAAGATGGAAGTGATGCGGGAAGATGAAATGCCTAAGCAAGCTGCGTACAGCTCAGGACAGGGAGCCAACGGTGTTCACAACCTTCACTGGCCAGACAGAGAAACGGGAGGGCAGAGCCTCGGAAGAACCTGCTCACAGAGGCCTGGGGAGTCAGTGTGTGACAGAGACCACAGCGGTGCGGGATGGACATAAAACAGGCTGGGGAGTCAGTGTGTGACAGAGACCACAGCGGTGCGGGATGGACATAAAACAGGCTGGAGGAGTCAGGGCTTCACAGAGTTTCAGCGGCCCCTATGCTTGGTGCAGAAAGTTCAAAGCTTCTAAGAGAAAAAGAAGCAGCAAAACCAGGGACTCAGACAGGAGGAGCAGAGCCAAGCACAAGGGCCTTGGACAGGGACACAGCGGGCAGGAAGCTGACTTCAAGGGCAAAGCGCTCTTCAAGAGAATGGCCAAAGTAGCCATTTCCTTTTTTCCTTTTTTTTTTTTTTTTTTTTTTTTTTTTTGGTTTTTCAAGACAGGGTTTCTCTGTGTAGCCTTGTTCTGGAACTACCTCTGTAAACCAGGCTGGCCTCACACTCACAGAGACCTTCCTGCCTCGGCCTCCCCAGTGCTGGGATTAAAGGCGAGCACTACCACCAACTGGCCCAAAGTTGGTGTATTACTTACACATGTTCTGAAACTACCAGGCAGTATAAAGAAATGGTGAAAGATATCTAATGCTTAAATAATTTAGTGTCTTTAAATTTTAAATATGGACAAAAATATGTACCTGGTACAATAATTTCACCTGTATTCATTCATCAAGCTAATAAGCTTCATACTGAAAAATGCCCACAAAGGTCCGATTTCAAAACTGACTTTGAGGCTTTAATTCACAATGAAGCTTTCACTGACTGGATTTAAAAGTGCACGTTCAGGAGCTTCATCCGACGCGCTTGGCACCAAAGACATTCTGATTTCTGAATACTGCACACATGTCATGAGATGCCCTCGGATGGGACTCAAGTCTAAACATAAAGTTCATCTTTTACACATACTGTATACATATACCTCCGTGTAATTTTACAATATTTTAATGTGTTTGCCTTCCATAACTATAATCTATAATCTCTCTGTGGGGTCAGGTAGGAATTTTCCTCGTATGGTACCAAGTCTATGCTCAAAAAGTTTCTTATTGTTGAGCATATTGATGTCTAGATTTTCAAATCAGCGACGTTTTCACTTTTTATGTGAATCTTAAAATATGATACAATTTTTACTATGTCTGTATATAACCATAAATCCTAATCCTTGGAGAGCAAGCATGCAGAACCCCAGAAATGAGCTGGGGTCCCAATGGCCTAACAGCAGGGTCCAGTTCCCCGGGCCGACGGGACCTGACATCGGGGTCCAGTTCCCCGGGCCGACGGGACCTGACATCGGGTCACTGTAACATGTCCACTTACTTTTTTAAACATGACGAGTGAGATCACTGCGGATGCTGTGAAAAGCGCTGCGATGATTATCATCATGATTCCAACTGGAATGTTCTTATTGAGACCAGTAAGGGATGAGATCCAACCACTGCGGAACAGCAGAAATGTAATCAGGCCAGTAAGTTAATGCACCTCTCAAAAACAGCAACAAGGAACGCAAGTCATCACTTCTGAAGCCAGGCGACATGAACATTCTTTATATGGGATCATTTCTCAGCCTCCCACAGGAGGCTGCTTATTCCACAGATAAGGACTACCTTAGAGCCTCAGTGCCCAGGTCACACAGCTGAGAGCATCAGTCTCAATCTGCCAGCAAACCCCACCCCTGAGCCCAAGAGTTCACCAGATTATTGTATTTTTAAACACTATACGTAGTAAATGTGTGGGCTCTTCATTATATTTTCAAATGCTCATTTTCAGTTAAGGAAGAAGATATATGCAGACCACATATCCAACAAGTGATTCATTTTTAGAATGCCGACTGAAATCTTACAGTTCAGCATTAAGGCTGAATGTCACATGTTTGAGCCCTGGCCTAGCAGGTGACAGTTTTAGAAGGTCGCAGATATCTTAGGAGCAGGGATCTAGTAGGAGGAAGTAGGTCCCAGGTCCCAGGCACTGTAGGGTCATTCATTACTCCTGGCTGCCTCCGGCCCCATTCCCCACCTCCTCATCAGCCATCCATGGGAACCATGCTCTATGCTCTGGGACTCACAGACCGAGGGGCTCCATGCTCTACCTTCCCTGCCAGATGGAATGAAATTCCCTGAAACCATGACCTATGACCTCAAAGAAATGTTCCCTCCCTTAAAGTGCTTTTGGGCATTTTCTCACATTGATGAGAAAATACATTCAGTCACATCAAAAAGCAAAACAGCAAAAAAGTACAACCCAACAAGTCATTTAAAATAGGCAAACCATGTGAGACATTTGAACAAAGGGACAGAACAATTAGGAAAATAAGCAATAAAAAGATGTCAACATATTAGTCATTAGGTAAAAGTAAATCCAAACCACACACACACACACACACACACACACACACACACACACACACACACACACACACGCCCCTATCAAAATGGCTAAGATAACAGATAGTGGTAATACCCACTGCACTGTTTCCAAGGATGTGGAGGCTGAATCTCTCACAACTGCTGGAGGGAATATCAAATAGAACATCCACTCTAGCAAGTTTGTCAATTTCTTTAAAAAGCTAAATATGTGATTTCTAAATGAATTAACAAATTATAAATATAGTGTTAATCATAGGAATGAAAACTATATACCTTTGAAAACCCGGCCCCAATGCTCATGGTGGTTTTATTTCTAATAGCTCCCAAACAGAAACAATTCAGGCATCCTTGAACTGGTAAGTGGTTAGGCAAACAGTGGTACATCCATTCAAGAACAAAAAGATGGTTCTGGAAAGATGCTCAGTGATCAAGAGCACCGGTTGTTCTTCCAGAGGACCTGGCTTCAAGTCCCAGCACCTACATGGGAGTTCACAACCCTGTTGACTCCATCAACTCAACCCTGTTGAGTCTCAAGGGTCTGATGCCCTCTTCTGGCCTCCATGGGCACTGCATTCACATGGTGCACAGGCACAGACTCAGGCAAACATTCATACACAGAAATAAAAATTAAAATGTAAAAAAATAAAAAGAAATTAGGGCTACATGTAGCTGAGGGGAAAGCCAGTATTTGTAGACTATATGATTCCATTTACATAAGCATCTTACACTGTTGGAGTAACAGAAGTGACAGATAGCTTAGGAACGCCAAAGGTGAAGGAGTGGGGACAGGAGAGCATAAGTGTGGCCATGCAAACAGCAACATGCATCTTTCAGTCATGGAAATGCTCTGTCAACATCAGGGTCCTTGTTTTTATAGTTTACTGTATTTTATACTATTGGAGACACTGGGTGAAGGATGCCTGGGAATTCCCTATGGTCTTACAACATGTCAATCTACAGTTACCTTCATTTTTATTATGATTAAAAATACCCAAAGTACACAAGGCACAGCTGAAAAGAGTATTTGTGCCCATTAGCAGACTCTGTGGTACCTAGGGACAGACTGCTAAGTTCGACTTTACAATCCTCCCTATGTTTATATTAAGAAGCTGGTGAAATTATTTCAACTTCTAAAGAAACACACACACACACACACACACACACACACACACACACACACACACACACACACACCATTATAGCAATGCATTTTTAAAACATTTAAAGCATTTCCTCTCCTTCACAGGCCAGACTAAGCACTATCTAAAATAATAATGAAAATAGCTTTTCCAAGAACTAACTGAATCTGCAGGAGCAGTCTGTCAGCCAGTCACCCCCAGTCAGAGGCAGGGCACTAAACTCAAGTGCTCACACACTAGTTCTGAGCTCACTGCAACTTCAGTTAAGGACACATGGCAAACAGCAATGCCATGCATGCTTGTGCATGCAGAAGCTGGAAGGAAGGCAGCTCACTATAAAGAAAGACAGGAGAGGCAAGTCTGTTAAAGACACATCCTCTTCCACCCACCCTCTCCCTCGGGGATGTGCCCTCCATGGAGAGAGAAAATAACAGGTCTCGGTTACCTTCTAGCCTGAACCCCAGATGTTCCTACTTCTACTAAATGAGCATCCCACCATGGTGAGAACGCTTTTACTGTTGAAAGGCGTGTGTGCCTGTACATACACTCACTCTCACACATTTCCAAACATGTGTGTGTGTGTGTGTGTGTGTGTGTACACAACAACGCTTTACACTTAACCTGTACCCTTTTCCTTCAGATTCTTGAAGCTCTTCCCTCCAGACACTGACTGTGTCCTCTTTCTGATCTCTTTGGTCTCCTTTACACAACTCCTTCCAGTGCCCATTGTATACATTTTATTAAAATAGATACCTAGTGTGCTCGTTTTTAAATTGGGAGCCTAATGTTTGAAGAGAATAGCTTTTTCAAAGTTATGTTTTAGAGTGTTTTAAGTTGGTTTTTTAAAGCACTTTTGTTTTTCTGTGTTTGCTTTTGCTAATCTGATTTTTTCTGTGTTTAACTCACTCGGATACACAAAATTTGTTACACAGATTTTAAATTAACAACTTAACAATAGTAAATGACTTACCAGTTTCCCCAGTTATGAAATCCTGCGGCCTGGAGCACATGTACAGCAAACTGACAAATGTACACGAAGAAGAACACAAAGAACCTGAAGGAACTGTCACTCCTTTAAAAGAAAAGGGGAGAATGTCATTCTTTACATCATGCCCACAGCCACAAGCAGACTGACACCAAACATCACCATCCCATGAAGCACCTCCACTCCAGCACCACCCTGCAAACAGCCATCCATCACTATCCCATGAAGACCCTTCACTCCAGCATCACCCTGCAAACAGCCATCCATCACTATCCCATGAGACCCTCCACTCCAGCAGCACCCTGCAAACAGCCATCACTATCCCATGAAGATCCTCCACTCCAGCATCACCCTGCAAACAGCCATCACTATCCCATGAAGATCCTCCACTCCAGCATCACCCTGCAAACAGCCATCACTATCCCATGAAGATCCTCCACTCCAGCACCACCCTACAAATAGCCATCCATCACTATCCCATGAAGACCCTCCACTCCAGCATCACCCTGCAAACAGCCATCCATCACTATCCTATGAGACCCTCCACTCCAGCAGCACCCTGCAAACAGCCATCACTATCCCTTAAGATCCTCCACTCCAGCACCACCCTGCAAACAGCCATCACCATCCCATGAAGATCCTCCACTCCAGCACCACCCTACAAATAGCCATCACCATCCCATGAAGATCCTCCACTCCAGCACCACCCTACAAATAGCCATCACCATCCCATGAAGATCCTCCACTCCAGCACCACCCTGCAAACAGCCATCACCATCCCATGAAGATCCTCCACTCCAGCACCACCCTACAAATAGCAATCACCATCTCCACCTTACTCTGTTTAACTTCTAGCTGCACCAGAATTCACCTTGACAGAAAATTCAGTTTTCCATTAAAAAAAAAAGTTTTCCTTGGTTTTGTGTATGGTTGTTTTGCCTGCATGTATGTCTGTACACTATGTGTGTGCAGTGCCCTTGGAAGCCAGAAGAGAGGATCAGATCCCCTGGGACTCAAGTTACAAATGGATCTGGGAGCTGGAAATCAAGCGTGGGTCATCTGGAAGAGCAGTCAGTGCTCTTAGCCACTGAGCCATCTCTTCCAGGCCCGGGTTTTCCTTTCTTAATGAACTACTTTGCAGAATTAGCACAACTACTGAAAAATATACTATTTGTAAGTGTCGACGGGTGTGTCTTTGGACTTCACCCTTTGATATTGAGAACTTGTCTTGAGCTTCCTTCTCTCCCCCCTCTCCTTTCCTCCCTCCCCCCCCCCCCCCCCCAGTCTCCTGTCATCCTGGCTGGCTGCTTTGAGGATTACAATGAACGGGATGTGCGGTCCACACCCTTTCTTGCCTGCTTCCTGCATTCAGTTCTTCAGTCACCTGAGTGCAGGACTCCAGCTCCTCCCCTGTTGGGTGCCGTTCCCAGCTTTCTGCTATTACAAATGATGCTGCTGGGAGTCTTCCTAAGGATACAGACTTCCTTTTAAGGTGGTAAATACCTATAAGCGGAATGGCTAGTGTATGTGGTAAATATACATTGTTTTATAAAGTTGCTCATTTTAGACTCCTCCTGGCAGTGAGTGAGTCTTTCGGGTCCTCTGCATTTCAATAACACTTGCTGTGGTCATGTTTACAATCCTAGCCATCCTAATTAACATGTGGGGCTGTACTAGTTATCTTCTTGTTAACTGGGCTGGGCTGACAGACGTCTAGGAGAGATTAGTAAAGCAGACCTCTGAGGCATTTCTAGAGAAATTAGATTGTGAGGGCTCTGAGCTAATGAACAGTTTAAGTTGGTCCTGGATTCAAGATCTGAGTGGACTGTTGGATGGGGAGGGGACAGAACTGTAGAAGGTGAGGCTTGTTTGGAGGAAGTAGGTCACGGGGCCTGGTGAGGGCTTTATCCTGCCTTTCCTGTTTCCGGTCCACTCTGCTTCCTGGCTGCCTGGATGAGGACTGCTCCTTCACGCCCACCATCATTGAACCCAAACTGCCAAAACCAAAATCAGAACAAACCTTTCTTTTCCGCTGCCATCTGGCATTTTATTATAGCAACAAGAAAGCTAACACCACTTGTCACGTTCTTAGTAAGGAATGATGTTCAGAGACTGGTTATTTTATCCATAGATCTTTGTTTGACTGTGAAAATCCTGTTCTGGGGTTTTAACTAGATTTCCCCTCTTGTTCTTGATTTTTGAAAGTTTAAAAAATATATATATTCTGAATAGACAAGTCCTTACTTAGATACATGCTTGGCAAAGACCTTGCAGCATGGGACTTGTCTTTTCAGTCTGTGCATATTTGTGTATAAAAGCACATGTGCGTTCAGATCTTGCAGCATGGGACTTGTCTTTTCGGTCTGTGTATAAAAGCACACTTGCGTTCAGAGCATCATAAGGGTGTCTTCTCAATCTCTGCAAATACATACATGGAAACACACGTGCGTTCGGGCATCATAAGAGTGTCGTTCCAATCTGTGAGTATTTGTATATGGAAGCATGTGTGTGTTTGAGGCATCTTAAGAGTGTCTTCTGGGGAAAAGTTTTGCCTTTTTATGAATTCCAGTTTGTATATTCATTTTTTAATGTTTATTTTAGTATTGAATTAAAACAAACAAACAAAAAAAACTTCACCAAAGCCAAAAAGATGAAGACCTTCCCTCGGCTGGCAGTTCTGCACCCGTCACATGCTATTTGAACTGACTTTCTGAAAACACAGTATAAGGTATGGGATAGCCAAGTGTCCCAGAGAGGGTTCTTCAACAGCCTGTCTGAGCTGCACTGCCCTTGGATCTTTCTCAAACATCAGATGCCCAGTCAATGCCCTTGTAGAGATTCAGTTCCCAACACTCACATGAGAGCTCACAACCATCTATAACTACAGTTCCATGGGAACCAATGCCCCCTTCTGGCCTCTGCTAGCACTGCAGGCACATGGTACACATACACACACGTACTCATAAATAAAAGTAAATAACATTTTTTTTTTTTACATTTGTTTTTACAGGGCTGGAGAGATGGCTCAGGGCTTAAGAGATCTGCTTGCTTTTTCAGAGGTCCTGAGTTCAATTCCCAGCAACCACATGGTGGCTCACAACCATCTATAATGGGATCTAATGCCCTCTTCTGGTATGAAAGCATACATATAGATAGAGCACTCAAATACATAAAATGAATAAATAGTAAAAGACATTTTAAAAATTTGTTTTTACATATGGGAGGGTTCATTTTAATTTGCAGACTGTCATTTGTTTATGATACAGGAGCATCGACAACACAAAGACATCATGCTGTGATTATGGGAGCTTTCTTATAAGTCTTCCAATCAGGGAGCATCAGTCTGTACCGGTCTGCCAACTTTATTGTTCGTTTGCAGACTTGCTTTCAATATTTTAAGGCTTTGATATTTCCATTCATCTTTGGAAGAACCATGTCATATTTCTAGAAAACAGCCTGCTGGGATTTTGATTGGGGTTATGCCGCAGACCCGCAGGATCATGCATGTTGAGAAAGTTCACACCTTAGTAATATTGAGTCTTCAATATATGTCTCCATTTATATCTTCTACAGAGATGACTTGGGGTCTATAAATATAGTTTTGCTTCTTTTCCTTTCCTTATTATACTGGTCAGAACTCCTAACACAGTTCTGAACAGGAATGTTGAGAATGAATGTCTTACCACATTCCTGACCCCAGACAGAAAGCTCTCAGCCTTACAGCATGGCCTGTCAGCTCTGGGCTACAGTTTTCAGCTTTACAGTAGAGGAAGCTTCTCTTCCACTCCAAGTTCATTCACTTTTCTAACAAAAAGGACACTGGATTTTGTCAAATGTTTTTACTGTATTAGTTAAAATGGTCATACTACTGTTAAAATTTAGATTATAATGTGGTGGACTACCCCTAACTTTCCAATATACAACCAACATGTAAGCCGGGTGTTGAGTCATGTGTCTGTAAATGAGTACTCAGGAAGCTGAAGTAAGAGGATGCCGAGTTCAAAGCCAGCCTGGGGTCATATAGTGAGTCTCTTGGAAAAAGCTAAACTTGCATTTCTGGAAGAAGCTACACCCACTTGGCACTGTTTTAATTGCCCTAAATTTATCACAGGTCTTCTTAGCACAGTCATTTTCCAAGGTCTGTATCGTTTTACTTGCTAAAACTCAACCCCAAACTGTTAACAGAAAGGAAAACAGGAGATGGATGTGAGTGAATCCCTGCAAGTTCTACAGCACCCTTCCCCTCCCCGGGACTCTTCAGCCTGCCCCGCCCCCCTCGGTGAGGAGGCGGAATCTGACAGCTCCGGCCCACCCACCTCGGTGCTTCCTTGTCCTCTGTCCTGGTGGATCTCCACTCCTGCAGCAGGTTCTTCCCATGTGTTTACACATGCATCACACGTCCTTCTCTTGCGTTCCTCAGAGAGAATGCTTCAGGTCGGTGTTTTCTCTCCTGCCACACAGACTGACTTAACGGCTGCTGGGGCTCTCAGTGGTCAGTGTCAAGACAAGAGACCAAGCAAGGCCTTGCCACTCAAAGAACGAGATTTCCTGTTGTCAACTGAGTGGCCTGGCTTCCGAAGCTCAGCGGGTTCAGAAGCCGGGAGGGTCTGAGTGGTCCACGGCGTCAGGAAGATGTGAAGACACTTCCCATCTGCAGCCCTGCCCGCCTCGCCCTGCAGCTGCATCTGAGGCTCCGGTCAGTCTGGGAGCCTCCAATGACACTCCCCGAGGAGCCACAGAGTTTGGCCTTTACTTTTTCCGTCGCTAACTTGAGTTTCAGTTTCCACTAGATCAGTTACTGCTCCCATGCCCACGGCTGGTTTCGTTATCCGTTGTTCTACAGATGGAACGCAGGGCCTAGTGCATGGAAGACTGACCCTGTGGTTTTCTATCTGACTCCCAACAGGAATACCCATGTCCTCTCCCACATATGTATGTGAGTATACTGTAGAGTACAAGTCGCTAGTCCTTGATATTCTTTTTTTTTTTTTTTAAAAAGATTTATTTATTTACTTATTATGTATACAGCGTTCTGCCTGCGTGTATGCCTGCCTGCCTGCCAGAAGAGGGCACCAGATCTTATTATAGGTGGTTCTGAGGCACCATAAGGTTGCTGGGAATTGAACTCAGGATCTCTGGAAGAACAGCCAGTGCTCTTAACCTCTGAGCCATCTCTCCAGCCCAGTCCTTGATATTCTTAAGGCTCTACAATCTTTGTTTTTTTTTTTTTTTTTTTTTTTTTTTGGTTTTTCGAGACAGGGTTTCTCTGTGCAGCTTTGCGCCTTTCTTGGGACTCACTTGGTAGCCCAGGCTGGCCTCGAACTCACAGAGATCCGCCTGGCTCTGCCTCCCGAGTGCTGGGATTAAAGGCGTGCGCCACCACCGCCCGGCTTAAGGCTCTACAATCTTTTTAAAGGTCATACAGACCAGAGTGTCAACACATTCCTACAGATTACATACTCAGAGCTTCTGTACATTCCTACCTGAAATAGTGTTGCTATTTCACTATGGATCCAGGTAGTTCAGAGACCCCCTCACTGATTTAACTTACATTAGCATATTTACTTGTGTAATTTATTGTTTACCTCTTGAATAGTTGTATAAGTAATACATTTGATGTTATTACAAAGTTCTGTGCCAGCTAAGGGTGGGCAAAATGGATCCTGTTGCCCCAGTGGGGTTGGTAACTATTTTGAAAGCAACACATTGTCCAGGAACAAAGAGGACTGTTGGGATTTCTTGGCAGAGCGTATATTAGGACATGACAGTAACAAGATGGTTATAGTTTAGAGCAGCTGGAGCAGAGGGTGGGGATACACCCCCAGTCCTCCGGCCCATCCTCCATGGAGGATGAAGTCCACAGATGCACGAGCCACTGTACATTATTAGGACTTTTTCCTGTAGCAGATAACCCTCAAACCTTAGAAGATCATCGGGTCCTGTCCCATAAATAAGCTTTACAGTAACGGAGGAGACAGAATATAGGGGAAGGATAGGAAATTGAGAAGCAGTCTAAGGCAGAGATCCGCCAGAAATGAAGTGACTACCAGTGTGGCAGCCAGCAGCAAGGAGTGTTTAAAGAAGGATCTTCAAGCCAGGCGTGGTGGCGCACACCTTTAACCCCAGCACTCAGGAGGCACTCTGAGTTCAAGGCCAGCCTGGTCTACAAGGCTTCCAGGACATCCAGGGCTACTCAGAGAAACAGTGTCTCAACCTCCTCTCAATGAAGGCAGAAAATTGGTTTAGAATCCAAAGATTTCTTTCTTTTCTTTTCTTTTTCTTTTTTTTTTTTTTTTTTTTTGGTTTTTCGAGACAGGGTTTCTCTGTGTAGCTTTGTGCCTTTCCTGGAATTCACTCTGTAGACCAGGCTGGTCTCGAACTCACAGAGATCCACCTGCCTCTGCCTCCCGAGTGCTGGGATTAAAGGCGTGCGCCACCACCGCCCGGCAAAATCCAAAGATTTCTTGAGACTTAAGAGTTGTGTAGAAAAGGGTAAGGTGTGTGTAGAGAAGCCAGTGAGAAGTGGGAGGTAGAGGGACTGAGTGAGAGATGGTTCTTGGACTCTGTCTTCAAAGGGAAGCAGGAAGGTAGAGGTACTGGTACTGTGCCAAGAAAACAGCAACGAGGTGGCCCTGCTACATGACATGACTTCCTTATTGCAGGTCCTGCTCTACTCACCGATGTGCCTTTCAGTCTGTACTTTCAAACTAGTTTGATTCTTTCTAAAGTTAGATACACTAGCTGAAAGTCATAGAATGGTGCGTGGGAATTCTGTAAAGACAGTAATCCCCTGGCCTCATCACAGCCCTGCCACAGCTGCTGTCCCAGGCACCACCGAGCGTCGCTCAGGTTCCTTTGGTGGCCACACCTGCTCAGCTTGCCCTGCTGCTTCCTAACACTGCAGGAACTGTGAGAGGACTACCATTCCAGTACATGGAGACCCAGCTCTCCTTTCAAGTCTTCCCAGCTTCTGCCCCCATCCCCACAGTCTAATCCACATATCCTTGGGGTTAGCAGTAGTCCGGCTCACTTAATAGGCCAGACTGTGAGATTCCTGAATATGACGTACCATTCACAGGTGAAGCATAGTGATGTGCTGTTAACAGGATTCCTAGCTTGCATTTTTGTTTCCCTGGAGTTAGAAATTATCTTTTGTTGATGGCTTTTATACATACTTATCAGTACTTGACCACTAATTCTCTCCTTAATGTGTATAAAATCCTTTTTAACCTATTGAAATGAATTCTGCCAATTTTATCTCCAAGGCACTGTTTCTCTTAAAGCGTAACCAGTTGCTTCTCTTGCTGTGAAGAGACACTATGACCACAGCAACTCTTACAAGGAAAACATTTCACTGAGGCTCGCTTGCAGATTCAGAGGTTTGATCCATTGTCATCGTGGTGGGGAGCACGGCAGCGTGCACACAGACATCTTCATCAGAAGTAGACTGTGACACTGAGCGAACCTTAAGCAAAGAGACTTCAAAGCCCACCCCCACAATGACACGCTTCCTTCAACAAGGCCACACCTCCCATATTGCCACTCCCTATGGGCATGTGGGAGCCAAATACATTCAAACTACCACGTCGGCTTACACCTGAACTTCTGGAGCTGGATGCGGGGAACCCGCCCACTCAGAATGCACTGCTCCACTGTCTTCTAGTATCCTGTGCTGCTATTCAAAACTGATGTTATTCTGATTTGTAAGTTACTCTAAAATAAGTTAAAGAAGTTTTCTACTTTATAGAGGGAAAAAACCAAAGGGATGGAAAATAGGAGGAAAAAATTGATTCCTCTTATTATATTAGCAAGAGTTTCATTTAAAAGATTAGAAACAAAGCAGAAAGAAATAATCAAAGATTGATACAATTTGATACAATTAACTTTCTCCGAACTTAGGGACCTAAGGCTACAGTGGGCAGAGCATTCCAAGTAAGACAGTCATGAAGATGAGCTCCTGGCTGCAGCTCCTGAAGAGACTAACATGGCCAAGGGGATGAGTGGGGGAAATGGAAAGTTGGTTTCACATATAAAAGGGGTTTATGACTCACCAGTTTAGAATAAAGGGGAAACAATCACATGATCATGTCAACAGACACAGAAAAGCATCTAGAAAGCTCTAGCACCATTCATGATAAAAATTCCCACCAAGCTAAAAACAGAGTCCTCAAACCAACAAAGGGTATATGCAAAACAAGTCTGCAGCTGACCTGACGTCACAGCTGATGCTGATTCCTTCCCCTAACACCTGAAACAAGATGGCCATCACCCCCCTTCACTCGCACTATTCCAGAAACTGCAGCCCATTACTACGGCAACAGGAAGAGAGCAGCAACGCAGACCAGTTAAAGCTAACCCGTCTGGAGGAAATGAGAGAAGCTACGTTACACAGGGTAACCTGGACCTCCGGGCTCAAGGGATGCTGCTGCCCACGCCATCCCCTCAAGCAACTGGGATGAAGAAGGGATGCACCATCTGCCCTGGTCCAGTGTTCTCTTCTTAAAGCCACAGTCACACGGGGCTCCACAGAAAAGAACGGTTTCATGATCACATCTCATGGCACACTAGGCACTTAGAGTCTAAAATGAAGGAGTTTGCCTAATTTTATTAACTAGCTATTCTAAAACTAAGCTAATGAACATTTTCCCCAATACCAATAACATCCCACAGAACATTCACTTAGAAAATGCATTACCCAGAATGTTTAAATAGTGATTAATATTATGTAAAATAGTATTCTTCATTTTATAGCCCAAATAGGTTTTTAAATGTCACTGTCTTAGGAAAAACTAAGATGAATATACACAGAAAGTATTACCCACTACTGAGTAAAACTGTTTCGTATGTGTTCACCTTACCTGGATTTATCCTAAAATAAAGGCTGTAACAACCAGTTATAATTCATAACAATTTAGACATGTAAGGGAAAGAGGAGAAAATGGCAAAGATTTTCCTAAAGTCAGTTATGAATCATGGCATAAAATGTTGCATGTTTAAATTTAAGAATGTTAATTTTCCTTTATTAACTTTCATGTTTGATTTTTTTTTTTTTTTTTTTTTTTTTTTTTTGGTTTTTCGAGACAGGGTTTCTCTGTGTAGCTTTGCTCCTTTCCTGGAACTCACTTGGTAGCCCAGACTGGCCTCGAACTCACAGAGATCCGCCTGGCTCTGCCTCCCGAGTGCTGGGATTAAAGGCGTGCGCCACCACCGCCCGGCCTCATGTTTGATTTTTAAATGAAACAATGCTTATGAATTTTATGATCCAATGAATATATAGGCAAGCTACAGTAGATGTTTCAGAAGGTATGTTATATTAACATTTTAATTTTATATTATGTTTATATTTATTTTACTGGGGAAGGGGTGTGCTTGGCATAGTGTCCACATGGAGGGCAGAGGATAACCTGCAGGAGTCAGTCCCTCCTTCTACTCTACCGGACCTGGGGTCAAACTCAGGACGCCGTGTTTGACGGCAGCACCGTTATCGACTGAACCATCTCACGGGCTCTGATTTAAAAAAACAATGAAAATATACCAGCTTTCCCTTTGGGGTGTAATAGAGATGACTCATTTCATGGGGTGTGTGTTTGTGGCAGGGTCTTGCTCTGGAGCCCCAGCCTGACACAAACTGTGTAGCCCAGGCAATCCTCCTACTTCAGCCTCCCAGGTGCTGAGACTCCGGAGTGAGCCCCCAGCCACACACTCCCCAGGTTTTAAAGCACACACATTAAATACACACACTTACCTGAACGCTCCGTACAGCGGTCTGTACCAACAGACAAATGAACAGGGGGTAAAAAGCAAGAACCACAGGATGCTCAGTCCAAAGTCAACTGCTCTTGAAGAATCGACACAGAACCAAGCCAGGCATCCGAAGATGTTTAGGAACAGCGTTACCGCGTGGACTGTGGGATCGGAAGACAGAATGGGCTGGTTACATCAAGTCACCATCTGACCAGAGTTACAAATGAAAACACTTCTAAGAGCATGTGTTCTTCCTGTGTTTCCATGGCGTGCTCTTCAAACACTGCTGTTTCTTACTCAGGACTTGAAAGCAGAGTGCACACAGTAGAGCATTTTAGGAAAAAGTCCTGCAGGCTATCTCTTCCCCCTAGGGCAGCTACATTTGCTAAGCCCAACCCTTAGGTTCACTTTCCTGAGAAGAAAATGGACCGAAGAAGAGAAGCAGTGCTTGTTAAAGACAAAAGCAAACAAACCAACCCAGAAGTGTGGTCCTCAGAACACTATTTGTAAGGAGGGGACTACAGTCAAGAACTGGAGGACAATTAAAAAACAGCCTCAATTCTGTGACTGTGGGGGTCTGTGAGGACGGCTTCATCTTCCGGAGTGAGCCAGTTTTTTAATAGGGGATACTTGGATAGATTCACGTTATTCCCTCCACCCCACAGAGGCAACACAATGACCTCACCAGCAGCAGGACTTCCCTATGCTGCTGGCATGCTGCTCTCCCTGACAAACTGAAACCCGGAATCTGAGTAACATCCAGCAACGCTGTGATTCGAAAGAGCCCTGCTTACCAGTTATAACTTTTGTTTACATTTATTTTTATGCATTTGGATGTCTGCCTGCATACATGTATATGTACCACGTGTGTGCAGGGCATGTGGAGGCCTGAAGAGGGCACTGAACGGGGGATAGAGATGCTGTGAGCCACCATGTGGGTGCCGAGAACTAGTCCTGGGTCCTCTGCAAGAGCAGCAAGGCTCCTAAGCCCGGAACCCTCTCTCCAGACCCCTACAGTTACAAGTTTTTTAAGTGATTCTGTAAAAATGTATTCATGGGTAGAATTTCATTATGGGAAATAAATTCCCATAAAATTAAAATACTGTAAAATGTATATTATCAATAAAATGTCAACTATGACTTAGATTAGAAAAAATTAATTAAAAGATTATTAAATCTACTACAAACTCAATATACATTAAAAACCAATTTTAAGTCTCTTTACAAATTAAAATCAAAAACTTATGGAGCAGGATAGAACCACTCCCCGGATGCCCTGATGTGTTCTCATCTAAACACGACAGAAGTCAACTATGGAGAAACAGCTCCAGGGCCTGAGAGCAAATCTGCTGTGGCCTTTGACGGCTTTGATTTAAAATTCCATTCCTTTCTGTCACAGAGGGAAAACTATCCTAATTACTCAATTACTACTGGGAGAGTAATCCTCGAGAAAGCTAGCTTACTAATGAAATGCCTCAAAATCCCTTTTCCTCAAAATTAAGATTTTTGAGGGTTTAAAAACAAAACAAAAATCTCTGCAAAATGGGAAATTATTTTGTTGTTCTAAAGGACTCTGGCTGTCTTAAGTTTGGTGGTGTGTGGGTGTGTGTGTGTGTGTGTGTGTGTGTGTGTGTGTGTGTGTGTGTGTGTGTTTTAATGTTAGCACATTCTAACTTAAATTCTTCACAAGAATAATTTTTTAAAGTTTACTTTCTATTTCTCTTACAGAAAGTGAGGATATGTGTATTTAAATGTTTTAAAGCCCATAAAAATTCTTCAAAGTACAGAAAGTATACTAACTTTCTGTAGTATGTTAGATTTTTCCTAGATGTTTTTAAAGTGACCATGATCAGTGAGTCGCCATCTTGCGCTCAGTAAAAACCGGCTGTCTAGGGTACCTGGTGATGAAGCTGTCCACCTGTGCAGGGGTCAGAAAGCAGGCAAGGGTGACATCCTCTGCCATCTGTGCTGTTCATTTCAGTGTGTCTACGCTGGTGGATGCTGAGTACAGGCCAAACACTGAACAAATCTTTAAGCCATTTTGTTCACAAGATTTGCAAAAATAAGTTATACTTTTTTATGTGAAAGCTGTATTTGCTTTAGAGGCACTCAAATCTGCTATCAGGTGGCCTGGATTTGCAACTGCCAGTGCTATGTTATTCTTGATAAATATAATTACAAAAGAGATGGTTACAGGTGCACACATTTCCACTACCTGGTGGCTGGTGTCTGTGCCTTTTTTTTTCTTCTTCTCTTAAATTCAAAAGCACATTCAAAAAGGTCAAGGTTCACTTCACAGTGACAATTCTAATTGCTTTGGTTCATTTGAAGTTTGTATTACCTGCTTCCATTGAGGAACCTTTGAACACACATCTTCATAGTATTCATTAAAATGGAAATCACTTCTTCATCTTGGTATTTTGTAGATGGCATACCATAGAATCTAACCCTGGGCTTGAGAGCCCAGCTACCCGAATAGCTGTTTAATGTTGGACAATGTTGGACAGGTACCCAATTCTCAAAGCTTCCACTTCTCTAAGACTAAATAATGTAGCGCCTACTTGAGGATTTTCCTAAAGTCAGTTATGATGCATGGCAAATGCTAGCTCTCACTATGACGATGAGTTATCAAACCTTCAGTCAGCCCTGAAATCCACACCAGGTCGATACTTTCCAAAGTACCCACTAATACAGTCTCTGCTCTTCAAGTGTGGGCAAATTCCTGAACTGCTCATACTTCATTTCAAGCAACGCTTCTTTGAAACAGAACCCTGACTAGAATCTTGAGTCCATTTTAAAACAGACTGGCAAACTAAACAAGATTGAAAAAAACTGTAATTGCCCGCATTACTTCTGAGAGACTCTGAAAGTTATGCATTCTGAAAAGCAAACAGACCGACTTGGAAACCGTCAGCTTTCGCTGTTAACAAGTGAATTTAAGTTAACCATTTTTCCCATTCGACCTCCATTTACTAAATCTGCTGTCGCATTTTCTTTCTACCCCTTTACCATAAAAAAATGTGGTAAGTTAAATAACTTATGCCTAAATTACTATGCCTATTTTTAAAATTCATATATAAGAAACACAAATGCGCCGGGCGGTGGTGGCGCACGCCTTTAATCCCAGCACTCGGGAGGCAGAGCCAGGCGGATCTCTGTGAGTTCGAGGCCAGCCTGGGGTACCAAGTGAGTCCCAGGAAAGGCGCAAAGCTGCACAGAGAAACCCTGTCTCGAAAAACCAAAAAAAAAAAAAGAAACACAAATGCATATATGACAGAGAGAAATATACTAACTAAATAAAACATAGAAACCGGTTAACATACACATATATAGAATTATACCTTAAGTATCAAATACATATAGTACTACAGACAGCAAGGCCAAATCTCAACAAGAAACTAAGAGTCTGAACGTAAGAGCCAGCTGGGTGTGGTGGTGCACACCCTTTAGTCCCAGCACTAAGGAGGCAGACACAGGTAGATCTCTGAGCTCAAGGCCACAGTGGTCTATGTAGTGAATTCCTGGACAGCCAGGGCTACATAAAGAGACCCTATCTCAAAAAAAAATTTTTTTAAGTAATAGCCACTGTAATTTTTTGACTATGAGAACAAATGTCCTTTTTTAAAACTATGACAAAAGTAATGTTCATAAGGAACTGCTTCTCACATGCCAACACGAAGAATGCTCCTATGAGTCTGAAGAAAATTATCATATCCTCTTAGAGAAGGTGGGCCCTAAAGCCTCATTAAACATACAGTAAAACCCAGATACTTTCATTGCCTACAGATTACCTACTACCCCATCTGTCCAGCCGTCCCTCCTGACAGAATGGCGTCAAACAGGGTTGAGACTATTTGAAATACAAATCAGAGAGTAAGTGGGAAGTCTGTGTATACACAGCGAACCTTCAGCAGCTTGACATTCATTTAGTATCTCAGAGTTGTGATTATACTTAAAACACCATGCACATTCCCAGCTGAAAATACACTCTAATGCTGTTTAATGAAACAGTCCTATATTAAGCAATTTCAAAAATAAAAGTATTCACAGCCACTTGAAAATGAAAGCACACTGTGCTCACAGTGATTTTTAAGGTGACAGTCACATTATAGTATGTCCTGTCTCCTTCTAAAACCAGCCGTAGTGCTACATTTAACAGAATCTAAGCGATACTCCTTTGTATAAAAGTAGTATGCATAATTTTGCCAAAACAAGTCATGCCTAGATAATGTTCTTCTAAGGAAAAGGATCTTTACAAAAATTCTGCCCACATGACAGACAAGATACCTTCTCAGTTAGTCAGGGCTAGCATTCCACGTGCAGGCTTCTCTCAGCCAAAGACTTGGATTGCTATGTGTTACACAATTTTTGTATCTAAATATGATGTTCAACTCTGAAACTATGACTATTAAAATCTATATGAAAAGACAATTAATATGCATTTTAAAATATCACTTTCAAAAAGGTGTCTATCAATGAAGATATTAACTCAAAATGCATTTATAGGTATATAAATACAATTTTTTTGATACTCACACATCCATAAGTAGTACATAAGCTTTACTGTCTTTTGGAATTCTACAGGAATGTCTACAGAAAAATCTTGATAGAAACAAGGTCCCACAGGAAAATTGCTAGGAAGAGGCGGCCAATTATTTTTTCTCCCTGTAAGTTAAAAAAAAGTTATTGCAACAAATACATTGTCTTCTTCTTTTGTCTCAAAGTACAGTGTGTTGCTTTGGTAGATGATACATAAAACACTAACACTGCTCCTCTGTGCACTCTTACAACCTTGAAAGCCAAGCTCACATTTTTTAATATTTTTTCAGACTAACATTTTAGAAACAATAAATGGTAAAACAATTTTCCATTGTCATATCGTACCATGTTTAACATGTCTATGTATAGCAGAACAAACCCAGAGACAAACCCTGAGAGCTGCCTAAAACAGATTGATCTCCGAGTCCCAGGCCTGGCTATGGCGGGGAGACCCTCCAGTCCTTAAGCTCCCATTTTCCCCTCAGTGTCCGGAGGCTTTCAGTAGAATTCTGCTAACTTCCTAACTGACGTGCAGACGGAATCAAGGTTCCCGACAATACAGACCAAAGAATCAAGTCTGGGGTGAGGGACTGGGGGATTCCAGTGCCCTGAAAACCACAGAAAACCAACTGGGGTGTGAGGAGGGAATGTGTCTGCACAAACAAAGATTGAAAGACAGCAAGACTTGGGAAATGGAGGCAGGAACAAAAATCAAACAGAAAGCACAAATTCAGATGAAAATACAAACGAAAATACCAACTAAAAGTCACTTTCTAATATTAAATATAGCATATAACTTTATCATTCAATTATACATATTTTTAACCTATCTGGACATTTCTCATAAAGAGAAATGTAATCTGCTGTTTATCCTCAACATACGCTCTCAGTTCCACTAATTATAATATTAAAATTGGGGACTAGGAAGGTAACTTGGCTGCAGAGCACTCGCCCAGCCTAAGATGACTCCTCAGGAGCACACGTGCCATATCACACTACAACAGCGAGCAATGCGGACCCAAGGCTCCGCAGCCACAAGTACCCAAGCCATTCGCTGACTGTGTGGTCTAAGAAACTTAACCTTCATTTCTTCAGAAAGTTGACAACTGAGTCACACTTCCCAGGACGGTGCTGAAGATGTACTGTTAATTAAAAGGTAAAAAGTACTACAATGTACTAGTACACTGCAAAATTTAACTATTAAAGTCTGTCCCTTTGTTACTATCTTTACCAAAACATCTTTCATCTTTCATAGAAGTAATCAGTGTCAGTCAGCACTAAGAAAATAAGAGACATTATCATTAGTGATCTCTCTCTCTCCTATAGAGGCTATCTCTGATGGAAATGAGCAGGATAAACATGTCCTTGAGAAGCCCAAGTCCTAACCATGGTAAGAGAAGGAAGAAATACTGAGTATTATTGTCATCCTTGTTTGGGGTTGTACTGCCATTCCAGCCACCCAGCAATGCCTCCCCTGACCCCCTCCTCCTCCTGAGGCTGCTGACTTTCCCTCACAGGTTCTTAGAATCATCTTTAGCACTCAGAGCCTGAACAGAGTCCTCAGGAAGTAATTAATCATACAAATACTTTCTTAACATTTTTTGACAAGTATGATGTACCTGTGAGGATAAGACCAAGAATCTGAACAGGTCAGAGTCTGAACAAGGTGGGACACACTCAAAGTTTCAACTGAACTACTGAGAAGCCCTCACCCATGCTCTCAGGTGACCTTCCTTTCTTCTGAGGGCCTCTCACTCTACATTAAGATATTTCTTTTATGTCCTAGCTCTTTTTCGAAGAAAGAAGGAAAAGATTCGGTAGAGCCCAGTGCAGAATCAAAGGCTCCTGGCTTGAAATGGAGCGAACGTATCAGATCTGTGTCTCACTTTCTCCGTGAGGAAGCCAACACTCTTCTAGTCTATCAACAGACTGTGCTATCGGGGAGGATCAGAGCGCTGCAGGGATCGAGTAAGCTATCTGCTGGGTCTGACCTCTCTGCTGGAATCAGAGAACAAGGCAGAGGTTTGTCACCAAACCCAGTGACTCAGAGCAAGGACAGATATTTTCAACCCAACCCTTTGGATACTACCATGCTGACTCAGGTTCTGCATCTCCCGTTCCCGGCGGTCTAACTCTGCAGCCTTTCTCTCTAGCTCTTCTTGACGCTTGAGAAGTTCAGCTTGAGCCAAGGCATGTTCCTAAACAAAATGACCAATACACACAGGTTATCCAGACAGTGGAAACAGTCTACCATTTATATGCCCACTGAGAGAAACCTCAGTTAAATCCACTTTCAAAATACAGGAAGGCTATAGTTTTGGAAAAATACTGAAGAGATATTTGATTCATTTTGCTCTTTTAGTTATGGAAACCCTCAGAGACAATGCTGAGTCCACAGGAGAGAAGAAAACAAACAAAAACCCACCTCTCGTTAAGAATAGCCAGAGACTGGGGACAGAGAGATGGCTCAGCAATTCAGCATGTGTGCTGTTCTAGCAGAGGACCTAGGTTCGGTTCCCAGCAACCACATCAGGCGGCTCATAACCACCTGTAACTCCAGCCCCCGCAGGCACCTGCACTCATGTGCACACGTCTGCACGTAGACACACAAGTAAATGGCACTGAAAACAATAAAAATCCGTCTTTCAAAGACAGAGTAGCTAGAGTCTAGGTAAGCCTGTGGAGAGGAGAGTGAGTGGAGGTGAGGGAAGAGCTGAGGAGAGATGAAGGGAATAAAGAACAACTGAATTAGCCTGGATAAACGGACTCAAATGGTACAGTAGGCTCCAGAAATACAAGAATAGTTCCAAACATCTTAAACGCCCTGAGATGCTGTGGGGACAGGGACGTGCTTACGACACTCTGCTCTCTAACTCCGTGTGTGAGAGCTGCCAGATTTCATTTCCTGGGTTCCCTGGACATTTGCCATCTGCTGCTTCCTCACACTGCCCACTGAGTAGTCACTGAGCTCTCTCCCAGTCATATTTATTATCCCATTATTGCTACTGCAGTGGTATTATGCATTGAATCAAGGGCAATAAAAATTACACTATATAAACTGTACATCAAGATGATATATGAACTTCCAGATCAATCTACACAGTTAACATGCACTAACCTTTGTGATCTGTGTGTAAGCTGGATGTTCCTCTGTTGGCTTCATTATTGCTGGCTGGGTGTTGGGTACATTAGGCATTTTCACACTGCCTGGTGGAGGCTAAAAAGGTAAAGACAAATTATGTAACACAAAGAGCCAACCTTTACTTACTTCAAAAGTATCACAGACAGCAAAATCCCAAGACCTGCCTGTCTCCATCGCCTCTCATGGCTGTGTGGTAAAACGCTGCTCAAGCTCTGCATCTCTACTTCCTAACACACTTAACAGTTTTACAATGCTCAGCAGTACACCACGCAAGAAACAGAGCATGACCGTTTCTTTAGTGTAAAGCACAGACACCATCAGACTCAAGAACTACACAGAATAGTGGGGTAGAGGGCCATCTGCTTGTACTCGGGAGCCTAAGGCAGGAGCCCGAAGGCTCAGGAGCCTGAGAACAGAAGGAGATGAGAGGAAGGAAGAGAGAGAAAGGATGAGGGCAGGAAGGGAGGGAAGGGGAGACATGAAGTTTACAGTCAGCTCTTCCCTCTTCAGACAGACACATGTCCACGGCCTGAAGACGTTACACTAGAAACTGTGGTGGTATCGTGTTCCCCAAAATATTGTACACCCTAATCAACTTATCTGGGGTCAGAGAACAGAACAGCCACTAGATACAGAGGCTAGAAAATGGTGGCACACACACCTTTAATCCTAGCCTTCTGGAGGCATGGATTTCTGTGAGTTTAAAGCCACACTGGAAAGAGCCAGGCATGGTGACTCACGCCTTTAATCCCAGGAAGTGAGCCTTTAATCCCAGAGAGTGATGGCAGAAAGCAGAAAGGTATATAAAGCATGAAGACCAGAAACTAGAAGCTTTTAGCTGGCTAAGCTTTTAGGCTTTGAGCAGCACAGTTCAGCTGAGATTCATTCTGGATGAGGACTCAGAGGTTTCCAGTCTGAGGAAACAGGATCAGCTGAGGAATTGGCAAGGTGAGGTGGCTGTGGCTTGTTCTGCTTCTCTGATCTTCCAGCATTCACCCCAATACCTTGTTCCAGGTTTGTTTTTATTAATAAGACCTTTTAAAATTCATGCTACATTGGTGCCCAATGTTTGTGGTATGAATTCATGAAAAAGCCGCTTGCCTGTGGCCTGGTAGGCCCCAGCTCTACCCCTAGCTACACTTGGCCGGTTGTGGTGGTGCATTCCCATAGGATTTGCTGAAGTAGGCAGAGGCAGGAGGATCCTGAGTTTGAGGCCAGCCTAGGAGGCTTGCTAAGGAGAAGCTTTGGCCAACCCACAAACAATGGAGGTAGAACCATAGAGGAGGCTGCTGCTCCGAGTTACTGCCTGCTTCTCATCATGTTGGTGACTGCGGTGATGCTGCTACCTGGGACAAAGGGTTTACTGCTGCTTGTTCAGAGAAGAATTGCCAGGACCATCGTGTTACAAGAAAGCATCGTCAAAGGTCAGTTTGGAAAAGTTTGGCAAGACAAATGGTGGGAAGAAATTGCTGTGAAGATTTTCTCTTCTAGGGAAGAGCATTCACGGTTCTAAGAGACAGACATTTATCAGACTGTGAATGCTCCAAACCACAGAGGAGACCCAAAAAAAAAAAAAAAAAAAAAAAGTCTGCAGGGAACCATGACCACGCCTAACAGCGACTTTGAAATCTTCAAAAAGATGACAGGAGACCACAATGACGATTCCACATGGACTATGGTAAAGCCATTAAGCTGATTAACTGCTGCAGGCCGCAGGAATATATCATAAGAACTCAGCTGGTTATGGCAAAGTCACTACCTGGAGGGATCAAGGATTTCCTCCAGAGGAAGCCAAATTCCAAGGAGCTTTTGGTGTTACTTGGCTTGTTATATATCAGCTGTCTTCAATTATGAAAATCATGTGTGCCTTCATAGTTTTCCCAGTTGATTTCTCCCTAAGAAGGGCTAACAGTGTGGATTGATCACTCTCTGGACATACACATTCCAGGTATTTGGAGAACAGCCTCAGGAAAGGCTTTCTCTGGAATCAGATATCTCCCTTGGCCACTTTCAAGGACTAGCAGTAATAATCCACATGCAAGTCTCCTGATTGAAGGTAAATTCCACAAGGAGATACCACCTAGGTCAGGAGGACGTTAAGTAATAGCTTTACACAATTTAGCTCGGACCCTCCTTTCTTACAGCCTTACTAACTTTATAGACCTCTAACTCCTTACCTAACCACTTCTAGGAATATTTAGATAACCTCCTGCACTGACAGCTGTGCTCAGCCAGAACCCCAGTTCAAGCCTCCCTGTAATTATCATCATTGGCAGCATCCGGCCAGGACCATCCCCAGATGAAGGAAAGTACCTTATCAGAGATACCTCTGTACTCTCTAAGAACAGACTTAAGCATCCAGCTACCTGTTTGAGAAGGCCTGGCAGATGTGCCAATTAAGCTTTACTTCCTCCTTTCCCAAACCTTACCTCTAGTTCCAGATCTCCCTTTAACTATCACCAGAGGCATCTAGCTGTACACAGGTTGCCTAGCGACTGAGCACACTTTCCCCCACCCTGCAGAAAAAAACGGCAGATAGCCTGGACAGATAGGAGCCACAGGAAAAAAGAAGACAGTTTTATTTTCTCCCATTGACCTAGCAACGTATAGATTCTTAACATTTTCTACTAATCACGTTTAAGACTATAGTTGAGTACATAAGATTCCCTCTTCTTAGATATTACCCGAATTTAGCCTTTAGTTAATTCATTTCCCCATTGGTCACTTCCCTTTGGGGTTGCAAATGATAATTAATGGTTATTGCCTCTCAATGTGATTCTTATCACCCCTCAGTTTGACCCTGGAAGCCTGGCTTTATATACCAGGACTTCCAGGGCACTGGGGGACGGAGAAGAGAAAAGAGAATGGAAGAACTAGACAGGTAAGAACTTGAGAGGAACAAACTGAGATGGGGAAGAACTAGATTGAAGGGCTAGAAGAGTACTAGAGGAATGAGATGGAAGATGAGGAAGAGCCAGATGGGGAAGTACTAGCTGGGTAAGAACAATATGAAAAGGACCTAGATGAGGCAGAGTTTAGACGAGAGAATTAAGATAGAACTTAGAGGGAGCAATAGGTAAGTATAGACAGAAATCAGGCAAGAAAGGAGCTAGACATGAGAACAGAACTGAAGCTGTGTATAAAGGATGTTATGCCAGAGGAATTAAAGCAAATGGACTATAGAGCTTGGTGTCCTGAGATTCTATTTCCCGAAAATAGTCCTCGCTGTTAGTCGTTCTCTCTCCTGAGCCCCTGGGATGTATAATATTAAGGCTGGTCCCTCTAATATTATACAAGAATTAACACCATGGAAAGATCGACTTTGGACTACAAACTGCTCAGCATTTTGAGATGGCTAGCTGAGATGATCCAGCCTGACAGACTACTCGAACAAGGACTTGAAGCAAGCCCTGCACTTTCTCATTATGCAGTGACTAGACAAATGATACAGGACTTGACAATTAACCCAAAAATTTTCTTTTCAGGATTCCCTAAAGATGTCTTCACCCCCAGAAAACAGAAAGTAATTTTAAGAAAACGATGCCCACATTCCCAAGATGTGAGATGGGAGATTTTGGTTATTTAATAAGTTATTGATACTGTCACTGTTAATGATGGTTACAAGTTGTTAATTGTTAATGGTAAAAAAAAAGCTGAACAAGGAGATTAGATTCAGAGTTAAAAAAGAAAAAAGAGAATATAGATAAGGTAGATCACTGAATCTGCTCTGAGAAAAAAGATAAAGGCATAATAGAATAAATGGATAGATCATTGAATCTACTCTAAAAAGAAAAAGGGGAAGATATAAAAATGACAAAAGGTAGATTATTGAATCTATTATGAAAAGAAAAAAAGAGCGAATATGGATATGATAAGATAAAAGGTCAATTATTGAATCTACTTTTTAAAAGGAACTACTTGTTTTAAATAGGATAAGTAATGAAATTTTTTTGTCTGAGTTTATCAAATGTTACTGGACTGGACACTGTTAATATATATAATGGAGTTTTTTGTCTGAATCCGTCAAATGTTAGTGGACACACATCATTAATGTAATTCTTGACTGTATACACTGTATATACTTATTGGATATAGTTTTTCTTGTATTAGTTATAAGCTTTTTTTAATTTTAGACAAAAAAAAGGGGAAATGTGGTGGTATTGTGTTCCCCAAAATATTGTGCACCCTAATCAACTTATCTGGGGTCAGAGAACAGAACAGCCACTAGATACAGAGGCTAGAAAATGGTGGCACTCACACCTTTAATCCTAGCCTTCTGGAGGCATGGATTTCTGTGAGTTTAAAGCCACACTGGAAAGAGCCAGGCATGGTGACTCACGCCTTTAATCCCAGGAAGTGAGCCTTTAATCCCAGGGAGTGATGGCAGAAAGCAGAAAGGTATATAAGGCGTGAAGACCAGAAACTAGAAGCTTTTGGCTGATTAAGCTTTTAGGCTTTGAGCAGCACAGTTCAGCTGAGATCCATTTGGATGAGGACACAGAAGCTGCCAGTCTGAGGAAACAGGATCAGCTGAGGAATTGGCAAGGTGAGGTGGCTGTGGCTTGTTCTGCTTCTCTGATCTTCCAGCATTCACCCCAATACATTGCTCCAGGTTTGTTTTTATTAATGAGACCTTTTAAAATTCATGTTACAAGAAACCTGCAGCCAAACCTCACTAGCAAGTCCACAAGTGACAAGACAGACACCGGTAGGTCCATCTATGAGGAGTTGGTAAACTACTACATAACACCTAGTGTGGGCTTCAAAGAGAATGAGTCAACATCGTAGAAGAACGTGGAAAATGGTCAGTACAGAGCAGAACGATATCAGTCAAGATGAACACAGATCTATACAGCAACTCTTATCGAAGGAATTTTATATACTTCTCTAGTATTTGCCTCCCCCAACAGATACATCATACAGCATGTTTTTCTTTTTGTTTTTGAGGCAGGGTCTCCTAATTAGCCCTGGCTGGGCTGGAATTGGCTTTAAACTCAGAGATCTGCCTGCCTCTGCCTTCCGGGTCATGCACCACCATAAAGGTATGCTCCACCATACCCTGCAATATTACTTTT